CACGTCCCTCTAGTCTCCTCGGAGGCCTGCGCTGACCCCCACGTCCCTCTAGCCTCCTCGGAGGCCTGCGCTGACCCCCACGTCCCTCTAGCCTCCTCGAAGGCCGGCGCTGGCCCCCACGTCCCTCTAGCCTCCTCGGAGGCCTGCGCTGACCCCCACGTCCCTCTAGCCTCCTCGGAGGCCCGCGCTGGCCCCCACGTCCCTCTAGCCTCCTCGGAGGCCCGCGCTGACCCCCACGTCCCTCTAGCCTCCTCGGAGGTCTGCGCTGACCCCCACGTCCCTCTAGTCTCCTCGGAGGCCTGCGCTGACCCCCACGTCCCTCTAGTCTCCTCGGAGGCCTGCGCTGACCCCCACGTCCCTCTAGTCTCCTCGGAGGCCTGCGCTGACCCCCACGTCCCTCTAGTCTCCTCGGAGGCCTGCACTGACCCCCACGTCCCTCTAGTCTCCTCGGAGGCCTGCGCTGACCCCCACGTCCCTCTAGCCTCCTCGGAGGCCTGCGCTGACCCCCACGTCCCTCCAGCCTCCTCGGAGGCCTGCGCTGACCTACACGTCCTTCTAGCCTCCTCAGAGGCCTGCGCTGACGCCCACGTCCCTCTAGTCTCCTCGGAGGCCCGCGCTCCGGCCCCGCCTGACCTGTTACGCCGAGCCGAGGTCCGGGCGAGCCGAGCTCCACCTGGGCGGGGTCAGCAAGACCCGCGAACCAGCCCAGCTGGCGGCGGCGCAGCGGCAGACTCCGGCGCAGCGGGTCCGCCTCGCCGAACCAAAAGCCAGCGGCGCCCTCCACGCGCGACGTCACGTAACGGCCGATCGCTGAGGAGACGGGGGGGGGGGGGGGGCAGGCGGGGTGAGTCAAAATAAGGCCTGGTCGGATGAGCAATGGATTCAAATGGCGCGCTAGGGTGTCATATCTTAAGTATGCGCAAAAATATACAGCCAATCATAAGATGCTGACGTTATGAGCAAGATGGCGTGCTGAGGTCAAAGAGGAAGTTGAAAAGTAAGAAATTTTCTGACTTGAGCGGCACAGCAGGTCATCACGATCTCTCAAGGTCAATATCCTTACCAAAACCGACCGCAGCATAATGCGGCTTTCCGCGACAATAACAATTTCGAACACAAAATCAGTAATCCGGCGTTACAACACGGTAATGCACACAGTAGTGCCATCCCCGTCCTATTGACAAGGCAAAAGTAAACCCCCAGAAAAACTGCGCGAGTGAGAGCAGACCCGGGCCCGGCCGGCGTTGCGCCAGACCAGACCATCAGACCGTGCGTTTCACGAAGTACAGAGCGAACAGTTGCACATTTAAGGCTGCGGCCGATATGTCCAGCGGATTATGTGCCGCTCAGCAGCTAGAGCGTTCTTGAACCGGAACCAGCTGCAGTGTATTATGTGAGCCGTCTACAAACCAAGTGGCGATCTTAGCGCTGTCTGACCCAGAGGAGCGCCAGGAACCGCCCCGCCCATGCAGACATTTCCGAAGCCGGTCCCGAATGTATCAGGCTGGATCCGAACCGGGCCAGACTGGGCCTCGAAAACGACAGTCGTTTGGTCGAATCCGCTGATACCAAAAACTACCCGAAATATTAGCGTTTTCGGGTATATTAGTCGCTAACACCAAGCAATGAAAACACCTTCAATGAAACCTCATTGACTTTGTGACCTGGTCGTCTGGGCCCAGCCGGACCAACATTAATATTTCAGCGATGTGATGTGTGAATCATTGCCCTAGTTTTCCATGCAGGCCACACCCGCTTACATCCTCAGATTAACACATGTTTCAGTCGCAGAGACACGCACATGTCTTCTTAGATATACTGAGACGACTGCGGAAAATCAATCCACGCACAAACTGCAAACCCTTCGATCCAAACGTCGATATGACGCTGCCGCGGACATGGTCTGACACCGACGGAGCTCACCTCTGGCCAGGGCACCGCACTCGTCCAGCGTCGTGTTTGCTGTCAGGGGATGTACAGGCACGAGGTCGACGGCGCCCAGGCACGGGTGGTTGCCGCGGTGGAGGGACAGGTCAATCAGACCACAGGCAGACTGGCAGAGCGCCACCACGCTCGCACCTGGCGGCGGCGGAAGAGAGCTCTGTGAAGTCAGGGTCTGGCGGATTCGTCGAGGGAAACGTCGGCTTAGAAATAATTGGTAACAAGGACACACAGAGGCGTGCGTGTGGTCTTCTAGTTAATTTGTCTATTATGCAGGGGAAATTACGCGGCTGAGTGGTTTGAAGGCGTTAAACGTGATCAAACTACCCGCGGTGAGCTTCCACTACGAGAAGCTTCCACGGGTCCTCGGTCGTCTTGGGAGGGGCGGGGGGGGGGGTGACAGCACTAATGACCTAACAGTTACATGGGTCGACCGAAAAAAATGAGACAAATATCGCTTCTCTTCCGCCTCAGCGCCCGCCGAACCCCACCGAGCGTGGCTGTCGGCGCTGCCACGGTGAGCACGGTCCGATCGTAGTCCTCGTCCGAGAAGATGCTGAGCACGGTGGCGGCGGCGCGCAGGCCGTGCTCGCGCAGCACGTCCCGGGCGGCCGCAGCGTCGCCGGGCTCTAGCGGCTGGCCCTGCTGCAGCTGGGGGGTGACGCGCAGGGCGGCGGCGGCCACCCGCTCGACAAGCGCCCGCTGTCGGCCGCATGAGACGTTCACCAGGCAGGCGGCCAGCTTCAGTCCGTCCGGCACCATCTGCCGGCGGAGGCTGGTGAAGCGCGCCCACTGACAAGGTTCTGCAATTTTGCAGACCGCCCCGGATGAGTTTGAACTCACAGGTTTGATGCCATCATTCACTGATTATATGTGTATATGAATATTCATCTAAAGTTTTGTACATCTGGGCCGTACGGTGCTGCAAATCATAGCGAACTCATGACGGCGTAGTTGGCTGGGTACATCACAGCAAGGTAACACGAGTAGATAAGCTTAGATCGACCTGTGACATCGAATCTTGATGAGGCCGGACAAGCGGCCGCACCGACCTGCCACAGCGGGCACACTACAGACGTAGGCAGGGGCGCGAGCCGACGGCGGGGGAAATGTGCGCGTGATTTTCGGCACAAAACACCCTGCACTGCTCATCCTCCCTAAAGGGAGGTCTGCCGCCGCTGGGCTCAGGTGTTTATTTGAGGTTCGAGTGACCCTGGCCAGCGCCATTGACAAGAATCGCCCCACTCTACGGCGTGAATCCAAATAACGCAACCAAGAAAACCACCGTTTCTTGAATTGGATGGGGAGAGGGGGGGGGGGGGGCTGAGCCAGTAAAGGCGACCTAACCGAAATATCGATTTCCCCAGAACTCGGCCACCTTGATTTGCGTGCTCGATGCCAAAATTAGATAAAAGTATAGGTGAGTTTGAATTCTTGTATGTCAAAGGAATACCTTCCGATTTGAAGCCAATGTGATGGTGATAGTGATGCGATATGACTATGATATCCACGGTGGTGTGTTTAGGTACCTAGTGTACCAGCAGTCCAGACACTTGCTGCATTTCATTAGCCCAGCATTCCCTTATTTGCTTATATGCTCAGACCAGGTAAAAGATACGAAAAAGATATAAAAAAGAAATGACACCCCGGACGTAACCCACCCACCAAAACACGCCAACAAGCGAGATTCTCTCCGGAATCGCCCCACTTTCTTCTTCAAAGTCCGTCCCGCTGGCTCAGTTGATCAAATCTCCTAGCTTCCGATTCATCCACCGGTGACGGGGTGGGTTCGAGTCGCATCAGGCGCTCGCTATTTGGCCTTGACAGGTATGCTCTGCGGCCATACCATGCCCGGACACTCTTGACTGATCAGGGGTCCTCCGTGGATTCTCCCCATTCGCCCGACAGGCTCTAGACGCTTTTGCCCACGTCCAGGGTCATGAGTCCCATGTGGCGGGAAACGCTCAGTTGCTTAGGGCCCTTCATATTGGTCTCGGGTTCGTTCCACTTGCTCGGAGGGCCTTGCACTGTTCCTGGGGCCCGTACAGGGTAAGGCACCGAGCCACTCGATTCCCAGAGGCCCTCTCCATTGATCTGGGCCCTTTTCTTTTGATCTCATTTTCGGAGGACCCTTCACTCCTATCGGGACCCTTTCCGTTAACCTGCCCGGACACCCTTGATCGCACAGGGGTATTACTGCGGGTACACTGGTCTTGGGTAATTTCCCTTTGCTCAGAGGGTACCATGCTCTGGCCGGGATCTATATGCCAGCCTGCCGGGGAACTTCCATCGTGCAGGGGCCCACCATGTTGGCCTTGGTGCCTTGGCCGTGGAGCAGCAGTTGGATATCCGTCGATGAATTTTACGTGGAGTTGTGCATAATTTTGCATGCCGCCGACGTCGATCTGTGTGATTTTCGTTGGTTATTGAATTTGCGACACCTGATGTACTTGTTCATCACATTTTGATATATTTTGAGTGCTAGGATATTGTGTGGTCTCTCATATCAGATAAAGCGGATCTGCATTAGTCATCAGCCATCAGCTGATCACATCGACCTGCCGACTAGCCGTAAATAAGCTGGAAATCAACTCTGCACTTGATTCTGATAGTATTTAGCGACCAATCTTAGTTTCTTCGCCAGCTTTTTCAGAAAAACACACCCTCAAAATGACACCGTGACCTGGAGAAAATTAATAAGCTCTACGTTTGTGTATGCGTAGCACGCCTAGTTTTCAAGGGTTGTGCACTGTGAAATGGGCTCCCGTATAAAAAACATAGCACAATTCTTACAACTTACTTCTTGTAATGCGATTGTGTATTTTTAGGAGGGCCTCAAAATCTACGAGGGATACAAGGTTGCGTACCCGCTTCCCACTTGACGAAATCCTGGACCCGCCCCTGCTCTTAGCATTGGTTTTGAGATGGAGGGAAAATGTATGTTTAGCAACCAGCCAAGCCTTGATTCGTTGCACGCCACCGTGACGTCATGAGCTGCAATCAGCTGTCGGAAGCACGATCTCTCGTATTTATCGGCATCTTGACCATTATGGCACAGGGCAATCGTAGAAGCGCGAGGGCAACAAGTGGTGTGGGACTTTGAGGTGGAATGGTCCTTGGCAAGTGGATGCGTAGTTCAAGGGGGGCCGAGTGAGTGTGCGTGGCGCATGAGAAGTCACCAGTACATCCAGTGTGCTGCGCGAGCGACCCCGAATTCCTCTCAGGGAAGCAATATAACTAGGCGAATTTGTCAGCAACTATTTCGACGAGCTTGGACAGGTGGGTGACATCGAGTGCCCAACTCCGCTCAGCGATGGAACGAGAGGGTGCCATTTAAACGTACGTACCGCCGTGGTCGTGCCTTTCGGTATGTTATGTTTCTTCTAATTCACCCGAATTATGTCAGGCGTAGATGGTCAGCCATCAAGCACACAGCTGACTGACCAACGAAGATTGTTTGTGTTCTGACCTTCAGATTACTATGACGTCATGTGGGCTCTCAGTCCCAGTTACATTATGCGATGCCCCGAAAGTGCCATTCAGAAAACATCCAAGCTGGGTTTTGTGCTTAATTTCCAAATTGTGGCTCAATCTGTCGTGTATGAGCTGAACGTGCCGCTCTAAGTATGTTGTAGGTGTGTGCTGTATATCGACAAAGTTGTAACTAGGCTGAGTCGATGAAACACTGCTTTAAAAAGCACAACACCGGGCCATTTTTGGTTCAGAATTCATGAATTTCGCCACCTTAATTTTGTTATATAGAACAGCTTGTAAACTCAAAGGCGTACCAACAGTTAGAAGTAAGCACATTTGATGGTCAAATCATATTTGATGCCTTGCCTCCATGTTTGAAATTGTGAAACATTCCCTTAAATGTGCTTTTCAAGTGGAAATGGTACCCCGTCTCACTGTGCACGCACCGACGTATCTGTAACCTGACATGACTGCAAGTGAAGGTCTTCATCCCTATCACTCTCAAATACCATACACTTTCAAGGCTGCGACGCATACATGGCTGAAAGCCAAAGCTAACCGGGCATTCTCCTCAGGGCATGACGACGGTCGGAGGTTAACTTCAGAAAACATTGTGTATGTACTTGGGCAGGAGACGGTGGCGATAGTCCCCCAATCTGTCCCATCCATAACGCCAGCAGCTTGTCTCAATCACTCCGCAGAAGTCTTACGATGTACGTGATGGAGTTTTAGCTGACGCGAAAATGGAATTGGTTTTGCATCACAACGCTGCATCCGCAATGCAGCGTCGGCTGCGGCCTTCCGATTTGGAACTAATATATTCGGGTTTGGGTTCTCGTTCCTTAAGTTCGAATCACGGGCTTTGGATTCGGCTTTACGTTTTCAAAATGCGAAGCCATGAGCTTCGGCTCGCAGTGCGAAGCTTTGAAGCCACCGACTTCGGCTTCACCTTTGGCTTCGTGACATTGTCTAGGATTCGGTTTCGAAGTCAGAAGCCTGCCTGTGTTCTGATATCTGAACAAACATGAACTATATCTTAGTAATTATTGGCTACATTTGCATCGTTTAACATTGTTTAACGTGGTTTAAACGTCGAACCAGTGTCGTTCATTCACAATTCTCTGATGTATTGAGCGCATGTTATTATCAGAACAAAGCACCTTTCTTTTGTTGTAAACTTCAAGTACTCTATGGGATAAATAAAACCTCAGCAATTTTCTTGGTGTTTCTTTTCATTTACACTTTCATGACGACAGCCATGTACACTTTGTACGCACAATTGTGCGCTACGTTCCCTGGGACGCAGGAAGAAGTTCCATTGGGTAATGGCCCGACCGCTTTCGTCGGTGGTCAGGTTTGTTTTATTGTGATGCGCGGATTTGTTTCGGCTGAAAAACGAACTACGGGAAAACGGGCCTACCCAGTTCGACGGTGGTATTAAGCTGTTCCTATGTCCCTGGGCATAGCTAGTGTTTTATTTAATAAGCTAACAAGGTGTGACAGAAAGCATATGTAAGTATACTAGGCTGACATTTGAGTTTCGCTGGCCCTTCCACTTTCCCATCCGACACGATTGCCTCAACATTGACTTTGAGTCTCGCGCATTTTCAAAGCAATCGTGATACCTTGACGAAGACAATGTATTCATTGGAGTGGAGTACAACTCCTGCCTGAATCAGAAACAAGTCAGGAGAACACCGACGCCTTATCTGCCGGACCAACAGGAACTTGATGGGTACGGTAAAATTGTCTTGTCATTCTAGTTACTTACCATGAACTATGCGTGCCAACGTCTGACATGTCTTTACATGTGCACAATTTTCATGTGTAAAGGCGCAATTTCCTTTTGTAACGTAATGTGGTGGCCAGATTCTTTGGATGGCTTGCGATGAAGCGCCACAGGGGTTGGAGCAATGACGTCATTTCAAATCCGTAAGGGCGACCAGAACAACCTTCACAATGCGTCGCTTCCTCGCGTCAATTTCGTCGTTGTTTTACATTGCCATGAACGCTTCCGATATCATTGCGAGTGATTGTTGCTTGCCTAGTTTTGTGCTATGACGGCGATGAAGTGAAGACGGAATACCTGCTCTATTTGTAGTTTCTGGTCCATTTTATGCTCAATTCTGGTCGTATGTATCCGTTGTAACTGATTGTTGCCTGTACGATGACACGGATGTTCCGGATAGTCACTCAATGAAATTATATCTATGTGCATTGAGCCAGATCAACATACATGATGTAATATCTGTGATTTGTACTGGTTGAGCATGGTGCGAGGAATTTAGAACATCAATTTGGACCTGCCGTAATATGCTACACCTAGATAATGTGGAGGAATGCCACTGGCAAAATGCTGTGATGTTTGGCCTATGTGTGTAATTCAAGCTGCTAGTATCCACTATGAATTAATTGTAACCATTTGGCCATGTGCTGTATGAATTAGTGCTAATAAGTAGTGGGCCATTAGAACTGTATGATTTAATATCTTTCTAGAACACACTTGGATTTTAAAAGCTTGCAGAATAGTCACAAATAACCCAGGAAAAAGATGTGTTTTAAAGCAACTGTGTAGAAAACTCACATCACTTGCCCCTGATATGGTGTGGTCCAATTTCAGCTTGATCAAAATAACATGTTTGATCATTTCTTCTGCAGATCCCAACAGTACATGATTTTCAGCTCCCCTGAATATTGCTTAGAAATAGATGTTTTTTCATTGCTTGCTTGTCATGATTGATGGCACCCAGAAATAAAATGATGAAGCTTAGACCACTGTTGTAACAAAGAGCTCGCAAAGTTTCAAATATACCCATGCTTGCTGGTCAGTGCGCATGTGCCGCTGCCCTTGACAGGCACCACTGTATGGACTGATTGTGCTAGCCGTTGTGTGGTGTAATGTGCACACCAGCTTAGTTGGCTATATCTGCATCAGTCTCAAGTGTAACTTGTAAGGCTTTTCTGGACTTTGAGCCCATAATCTTAATCTATCTAGCTGCTACCCAATTCTTTGGAGGCTTTGGCACATAAATGCTACTTAAACCAACCTCAGGTTCTGGTCAGGACTGACTATTGCCTCACAGTAACCTGACAGTATCTGACCTCGACATTGTTTGTACTGCTATGTCATTGAGGGGGGCAGCAGTCTTTAATGTAGACTATAGGCAGCTATGCAGATTGCACATTTTCTCCATGTGAACACATCATTACAAAATATTGTGTCCTAATGTCTGAACCTGCTCATATAAGCAATGTTGTTTCAGGCAGCTCTTGTGATCTGGTGTGATAACCATGGCAACAAGAAAGGGCATGGGAGCTGACAGGGTCCTTGCCAAGCTGCGGACATCAGTGGACAATGGAGAGTACTATGAGGCACACCAGATGTACAGGACACTGTACTTTAGGTAAGCTCTGCAGGGGTTAACAGTTTATATAGCAGTAAGCATCACAGTTTTAGTGACTGGAAGCTACTGGTATCATGCTGCATGTCAGCACAGTCATCATGACAGTCAAAAATGCCGACCAAATGATTGAACAGATTTATTGAGCATGATTATGCTCTATTGGCTGAAATCACTTTGCTTTATGGCTTTATTTAAAATGATCAGAATAGTCCATAAGCCATGTCAATGGGATATTTCTATTAGTGCATTCACAATTTGCTTGCATATCAGTATGACTCAGAAGCAATGAGAAATCAGCAAGGCATGGTTAGGATAGTGTATCAGCAACGAGCAATTGTTTTAAGCCTAGGCTGCTTATGACCTGTAACAAGACATACTTAGACAGACCTTGTAATGCAGTGCTTGCCATGCTGGCTCACGGCAGTGCATAGTTGTTTGCGAGCCATTTCTACACTGACCCAGTCTGGCGCCTGACATCGTGGCAGGTACTCCGGGATGGAGAAGTGGACGGAGCTGAAGACCCTCCTGTTGGACGGCGCGCGACTGCTGCTGGCCAAGGGCCAGACCGAGAGCGGCGCCGACCTGGCCTCCCTCTACATCGACGTGCTGGCCAAGTCGGAGACGTTCTGCGACGCCCAGACCGTCTCCAACGTGGCCAGGTGCGCGGACACCAGACGTCGTGCCCTCGCGCGGCGACAGACTGCGGTCCAGTCCGCTGTGTGTGCGGACGCCTCGCGACGGGGCGGGCGCGGCGCTTTTCACAGCGGGGCCTGTCGCACGGGCTGCGGCGCGGGCGCGCGGCTGCCACCCTTTCGCCGCGCTGGTGCTGCGCCATGCAGATCACAAGCACTTTACGGACGGCGAGGCGGGGCCCTGTGTGCTGGAGCGCTGCCTCATGACGCGTACCGCCGCCCAGGAAGTCGCGTGGGGGTGGACGCGAACCGCGGCGTTGGCGTCATACCCGGGACCCAGCACTTCGTGCGGGTTTTCCTGTATGGTACTGTATGCCTAAATCCGAGGCTTCGTGTGGAAATGATATCTCTAGCTGGCCATTTCGGACTCTGAGCTTTGCACATCGTTCCCCCCCCCCCCCGTCCCCATTCCTGGATGGGTCAAATTCTCCCCAGCTTTTGGTTGCTCCTGGTACTTTTGACAGCGATGTTTCGGTGTGGCCGGCACCCTCGGCTGCGACGTGTCTGGTCGGCCGGCGCGGTCAGCAGGCCGGCCGCTGGAGCGAGGGCGGCGCCGCGCTCGAGGCCGCCTGACCCGCGTGTCGGCCGTTGCAGCCTGTTCGCCGCCATCGACGCCGAGTCCGCCGACCGTCCGTCGTTCCTGGGCCGCGCCGTGCGCTGGTCGCAGGAGGTGGGGCCGACGGCCAAGGGCGGACACCCCGACCTGCACCAAGCCATCGGCAAGGTGCTCTGGAAAGGTCAGCGCAGGCGGGGCGCGACCCGTGCGTGCGTGCGTGCGCAGTCTCACGGCGTGGGCGGCAGGCGATCAGTTAATGCCATCAGGGTGGGTGTGCTGGATATGAGACGTCCGAATCGTGACAGAGAAGAATTGCGACATGAGCGCGGGAGCGTTAGCCCAGGAGTTTGCTTTTCGTGGAAGCCATGTGTGACGTAGCTTCCACGAATGATGAGACCGGTTATCCCCACGGATTAACGGACGGCTGCTAAGTAAGTTCGTGGTTGCAGGATGGCTTGTCTGGTGCCACGTTTTAGCCCAGGCACAGAAGCGAGGAGGGCTTGGGCGATCTGGAAATCCCGATGGCTTGTTGACTAGTTCTGGTGTTCCCGCTTCCCGGTGTTCGATACTAGCCGCTGTCGTTTTTCGCACATTCGCTAGTTGCCTCGCTGCTGATTTCGATGTTATGACCCACGGGCGATGGTTCACCAGATGCCTCTTGTATGGTAAAGTCGTAAAGAATCATGCGTCTCCTGTGCGGTGCTTTCGCTCGTGCCCCAATTTTGCCAAAACAGGTGACGTCATCTGACGTCAAGCTTGGTGAGGCTGCCCTGACGTTGAGCCGGTCGGTGCTGTACTGCTGTAGAGGATGACTTGGCCATGAGAGTGGTGACGTCATCTGACGTCACGCCTGGTGAGACTGCCCTGACGCCGAGTCGGCCGATGCTATACTGCCGCAGAGGGTGACCTAGCCGGAGCGCGCTACCACCTGATACGCTCTGACGACGGCCAGACATGCGCGCGCCTCCTGGTCGACCTGCACACGCAGCGGGGCGCCGCCGACGAGATCGACCTGTTCATCACACAGGCCGTCCTACAGTGAGTGCGGCCACATCGAGATGACACCGGTCCGCTCATGACACGGCCCGTTCGACGTGGAATAATAAACTCATCGGTGGCCTTTGTTTGTTGATTGTGCGGATCCTTCCGCAGCCGTGGCACTGCCAGACGTCTTTGACGATGCTATCACTTGCCACGATGGTCTCTGTGACGAGTAGTCATTGCGCTCTGCTCTGCCCTACGGATGAGCACGTGACCTGCAGACTATAGTCGCAGTGCTATCGCCTGCACCAGAACTCCCCCGCTACATCTTAAAGTACAGAGATTGATCTCGCGGTATATGCGTTGTCCTCAAGTCCGAACCGTCTCCGCCATTGCGTTGTATTTGCTGCTATTCAGCTGGTGTATAGGCACATTACGATGACGGCGGTTGCACGGCTGTACTGAGCAATAATCGTCATCTTCAAGAGGGAGTTTCGGCTGATGTGTTTAACATCATCGCCGCACTGCAACGCGCGTGGGGAACATCAGCCAACCACCACACACGGAGCGCCATGGCCGTACCGCCGGGAGACCCTGGAGACCCATCACCGGCGTTCCGCTGCCGGCAGGTACCTGGCGCTGAAGAACAGCCACGCAGCGGCCGCCTGCTTCGCCGGCTACCTCAAGTGGCACCCGCTGGTGCAGGCCGACGCGCCGCCCTTCACGCTGCCCCTCTTCAACTTCCTCCACTACCTGCTGAAGGCGGTGGAGAGGTGAGACGGGCCCGGCGGCCGGCTGTCATTCCGGGGCCGGAGAGGCGCTCAGCCCGTTTGTCTGTGTTGACCGTCATGGCTGTGGTCTGCGCTTCGTGTCGAGAGGACCGGCGTTGGTTTTATGTGGCGCCAGTTGTGCGTGTAAGACGCCATCAGGTAACGCACGCGTGGACACGTCCGAACCGGTCCCCCGTGGCGCCTTACAGCGGCAACGGTGCGTGAACGATCTCGCAGTCTGTCGCAAGCACTCAGGTTTGAGCCTCCGCGCACGTGTAGCTGCCCGAGCGTCTGCGTCTCGCACATGACGGCTCGGGAACAGACTGGCTCTTGGTGCCGCACCGGCGCCGGCCGCTCTGGCCGGCCGGTGGGTGCCGTGCCGACCACGCGTGTGTCTGACCGTGCCCGCTCTGGCCGGCCGGTGGGTGCCGTGCCGACCACGCGTGTGTCTGACCGTGCCCGCTCGGGCGGCCGGTGGGTGCCGTGCCGACCACGCGTGTGTCTGACCGTGCCCGTTAGGCAGCCGGTGGGTGCCGTGCCGACCACGCGTGTGTCTGACCGTGCCTGCTCGGGCGGCCGGTGGGTGCCGTGCCGACCACGCGTGTCTGACCGTGCCCGCTCTGGCCGGCCGGTGGGTGCCGTGCCGACCACGCGTGTGTCTGACCGTGCCTGCTCTGGCCGGCAGCGGCGAGGCGGGCCAGTTCCGCGCCCTCTGCGACATCTACCGGCCGAGCCTGGAGCGCGACCCCACCTTCGCCAAGCTGCAGGCGCGGGTCGGGCTCGTCTTCTTCAGCATACAGCCGCCGCAGCGGCAACAGGGCATGCTCGGTAAGGGGGAGGGAAGGAGGGAGGGAGGCGGGCTAGTGAGTGAGTGAATGAGTGAGTGAGTGAGTGAATGAATGAATGAGTGAGTGAATGAATGAGTGAGTGAGTGAGTGAGTGAGTGAGTGAGTGAGTGAGTGAGTGAGTGAGTGAGTGAGTGAGTGAGTGAGTGAGTGAGTGAGTGAGTGAGTGAGTGAGTGAGTGAGTGAGTGAGTGAGTGAGTGAGTGAGTGAGTGAGTGAGTGAGTGAGTGAGTGAGTGAGTGAGGGAGCGAGCGAGCGAGCGAGTGAGACCGCCGCTGGAGGTGTCGGGAGGGCCGGTAATGTGACTTTATGAAATGTGACTTGTCTACATACCTCATTGGTCCTTGCTAGCCTGCCGCCGGTTTGTTGCAATGCTCCCTGTTTGTCAGAGCATTGTCTATCTGCACCAGTGGCTTTTCATTCTGTTACTTGACCAGCGGCCACCCCTCTCACGCCGTCCTGAGCCCCAGCCGCCATCGCCGTCCATGCCGGCCGCTAGTGCTGTGTGCCCGCGTGTGAGGTGATGGCCCAGCCTCTGGCAGCACGTGCCCGGTCGGCAGGTAACCTGATCCAGTCGCTGATGTCCGGCCTGGAGGGCGGCGATGACTCGGACTCGGACGGTGACGCCGCCTCCGGCACCTCCACCAAGTCGCCCGTGCCCAAGGTGGCCAAGATGGACACGGGCGAGCTGGACTGACGCGATCGGCGCCGCCCGGCCGGGGGCGGACGACGGCGCCCGGCCAGCTGATGTGCTGAGGCCCGCTGGACTGAGGCCCGGTGGACTGAGGCCCGCTGCACTGAGGCCCGGTTGATTGACGCCCACTGGACTGAGGCCCGCTAGACTGGAACCCGGTGGACTGAACCCGGAGGCTCACTGGACGGAGGCCCGCTGGACTGACGCCCGGTTGACTGAGGCCCGCTGGACTGACGCCCGGTGGACTGAGGTCCGCTGGACTGACGCCCGCTGGACTGAGACCCAGTGGTCTGGAGCTGGAGACTGACGCCAAAAAGTGTTCGCTGGTGCGCCGGTGCGAGGGACGGGTGCGGAGACGGACGCCGAGGGTGGTCAGCCCGCCGGGCCGGTGGGGTCGGCGCCGCCGGAGGGCGTCCGAGCTCCCGGTGGCCCTGGCTGGCGACGAGCTCGGCCAGGGCTCGGAGAGGCGCCGCCCCAGTGAATCTCGGCTCGGCGGAGGCCCGCCGCACTGAATGCCGTCGCGCCGGCGGCGTTGGTTTGTTTCTAGTCGGCGCGGCGCGGGGTCCGTTCGGCGTACTCGGCCACGGGCTGGGGTCCGATGCGAACCTGTCGCCGCCAGTTTGCTTCAATTAACGCCAGGTGGCAGGGTGGCACCCCGGTCCCGATGACGCGGCCGCCGGAGGGGACATTTGTGATCAGGGTGGTGGCTGGCCGCCGGTATGCTTTATACAATAAATTAATGACCTGGTTAACGTGTGGCATTACTGAGTGTTCGGAATGGATGCTTACCGTATTGTGTCGTGGTCGGCCTGGGTATTCGATGCAAGATGGTCGTATCTTCAAAACTGCGGTCGATGTGGACTGAGAGATGTAATGTCTCGGGTCGCTTACCTACTGCCAGGCAAGTCCAATGTTATGTGTTTTTTTCATTAACCAAACACGTTACGAGCGTGGGCGAATCAGACGATGGGCATAGATCTGGAGCGCTGGCCGCGGTGCCGATGTCGAATGCAATCCCGTGCACTGAGAGCGAGAAGAACGATGTCTTGGTACGGAGCTGACGTAGAATATTTCTTTCAAGCTTTGATCATATGATAATCAGGCAGCTTTGGTGCTGCCACCGATTGCCAAATGAAACTGCTGTCTAGGCTGATTTAAAACTCGCTGCCAAAACATAAACATGTATTGTTTCACTTCGCTATAACGAGCAATGGAGCGATAACGACGCAGTCGAGACACGGTTGCGCTGCCAACAGCTTCTCCAGGAAAACCGGGCCTAGGCTTATTGAGGGTCGTTGAGTTCGTATGATGTCGCCCCGGTTTGCAATCAGTCCAGATGCCGATCAAACATCTCAAGGGTTATTTTATTCCAGGAGGTGTGAATGCCGTATGCACCGCGTTTGGGTGACGTTTTGGTGACGCAGGCGAGTATACCTTGTACCGAAACGAGCTTCAACCATTCGGAGAAGACTGGCGTTATCTGCGAATGTCGGCGAAACACAACATAATATGATGTTCTGAGTTCAGCTTAAAGACTGCCATTGCACGCCAGAGCTACAGAAAGCTGAGGCTTTACAGCTACGATAAGGCACTGATTCCCTCACACACACACCACTGCAGTTCGCGACACATATTCGCCAACGTAAATCTACAGCATAAGAGCACTAGCAGCGTAGTCGGGACCAAATCCAGGGATGCTTCATTAACTCGTGAGGATTGACATTGCTTCGAAGTGTTTGTCTTGTTGCGACAATACACATCATGGGTAAGCGCAGGCGCTTTTAGAAACGTGGCTGGGGATAGCTCGGATTCATGATGGACGGTATGATATTTGATTATTTAGGTTGTTCTTTCGACTCATCAGAATCGACACGAACTGAACCAGGGTGTGCCGTAGGTGTGCCTTCGCCTACAACACGGAACGTCACCACGCCATACATCTTCCTTGGTTTGAACGAATTTGCACATCGCTCATCCATAACATGATGCATGCCATAATTGCAGTAACCGCACGCAAGCCCACATAGCACAACCAATACGTGTGTGGGTGCATATTCCTCTGTTCGCCCAAAGCACAGCAATACGTGAGCAAGGCAGGCCTGAGCGGCCGGGAGGCCGTGGTTTGCTCGCCACAGCTCTGCGTAGCACGTGCGTTTTCGGGTGCTGCACCTCCATTCCGGAGAAGCCGTCCCTTAGATCATCGCCGGTGCCTTGAACAGCTTGAGTGGGTCGGCGTTCTTGTACTTGCCCTCCGGCCTCAGGCCGTCCGCGGCGTTCCTGCCGCGGCCCGCCGGGCCCTTGGCCCCGCCCCCCTTTGCCGGGGGAGGTTCGCCACCCCCCGCCTTGTTCGAGGCGTCCGCCTTCTGCGCACGTCGGCCGAACTTGGCCGGCGGTCGCTGTGACTCGCTCAGCCCATCGGACAGTTTCCCCGACGCCGCCTTCGACGACGCGCCCGACGACGAGGCCGACGACGCGCCGGACGATGACACCGACGACGCGCCCGACGCCGCCCTGCGCGTCCTCTGGCCGGCGCCGTCGAACATGATCGGCGTGTACCGGTCATCGTACTCGGTCAACCCGGCCATCTCGCCCTCGGGTCGGACATTGTCGGCGGCGCGGCGGCGCGGCGGCCGGTCGGCCGCGTGGCCGCGGTACCGGTCGGCGGCCTCGGTCACGCCGGCGAGGTCGCCCTCGGGCCGCAGCTGGTCCGGCATCGGACTGCGCTCGCCGCGCGGTCCCGGCCGGCCGCGGAAGCTGTCCTTGATCTCGGAGACGCCCTGCATCTGGCCCTCCTGGCGCAGGTTGGTGCCCATCGTGAAGCGATCCGGCTTGGCGGCGTCGTGGCCGCGGTAGCTGTCCTTGGTGTCGGTGATGCCGTCGATGCCGCCGTTCGGCCTGAGGTTTGCCGGCATCGTCGGGCGGTCAGGCTTCCTGGCGTTATGCCCGCGGAATTTGTCATCGGTTTCGCTGATTTTGCCCATGTCACCCTCCTGTCGTAGATGTCCCTGCATGGTGTGTCTGTCAGGCTTTTTTGCGTCATGCCCTTGGTACCTGTCGTGGACCTCAGTATTGCCGTCAATGCCTCCTTGGGGCCTCAGATTTCCTTGCATGGTATATCGGTCAGGCTTCTTCGCATTGTGGCCTTGGTATTTGTCATGTACCTCGGTATTACCATCAATGCCTCCTTGGGGCTTCAGATTTCCTTGCATGGTGTGTCGATCAGGCTTTTTCGCATTATGCCCTTGGTACCTGTCATGTACCTCAGTATTGCCATCAATACCTCCTTGGGGCTTTAGATTTCCTTGCATGGTATGTCGGTCAGGCTTCTTCGCATCATGCCCTTGGTACCTGTCATGTACTTCAGTATTGCCATCAATACCTCCTTGTGGCCTCAAATTTCCTTGCATTGTATGTCGCTCAGGCTTCTTCGCATTATGACCTTGGTATTTGTCATGGACCTCAGTATTGCCATCAATACCTCCTTGGGGCCTCAGATTTCCTTGCATGGTGTGTCGATCAGGCTTCTTCGCATCGTGCCCTTGGTACCTGTCGTGGACCTCCGTATTTCCAGCAATACCCCCCTGCGGTTTGAGACTTCCCTTCATAGTGTATCGGTCAGGTTTTTTTGCGTTATGGCCTTGGTATTTGTCATGGACCTCGGTATTACCATCAATGCCACCTTGCGGTTTAAGGTTTCCTTGCATTGTATGACGGTCAGGCTTCTTTGCGTTGTGACCTTGGTATTTGTCATGGACCTCGGTATCACCATCAATGCCTCCTTGAGGCTTCAGATTTCCTTGCATTGTATGACGGTCAGGCTTCTTTGCGTTATGACCTTGGTACCTGTCGTGGACCTCGGTATTACCATCAATGCCACCTTGCGGTTTAAGGTTTCCTTGCATTGTATGACGGTCAGGCTTCTTTGCGTTGTGACCTTGGTATTTGTCATGCACCTCCGTATCACCATCAATGCCTCCTTGAGGCTTCAGATTTCCTTGCATTGTGTATCGGTCAGGCTTCTTTGCGTTATGACCTTGGTATTTGTCATGGACCTCAGTATTACCATCAATGCCTCCTTGAGGCTTCAGATTTCCTTGCATTGTGTATCGGTCAGGCTTCTTTGCGTTGTGACCTTGGTATTTGTCATGGACCTCGGTATCACCATCAATGCCTCCTTGCGGCTTCAGATTTCCCTGCATCGTGTACCGATCGGGCTTCTTCGCGTCATGCCCTTGGTAGTTCGAGTTGAACTCCGTGTTCCCGTCGATTCCGCCCTGCGTCTTCAGATTCCCCTGCATCGTGTACCGATCAGGCTTCTTTGCGTCATGCCCTTGATAGTTTGAGTTGAACTCCGTGTTCCCGTCGATTCCGCCCTGCGGCTTCAGATTCCCCTGCATCGTGTACCGATCGGGCTTCTTCGCGTCATGCCCTTGGTAGTTCGAGTTGAACTCCGTGTTCCCGTCGATTCCGCCCTGCGTCTTCAGATTCCCCTTCATCGTGTACCGATCAGGCTTCTTTGCATCATGACCTTGATAGTTCGAGTTGAACTCCGTGTTCCCGTCGATTCCACCCTGCGGCTTCAGATTCCCCTGCATCGTGTACCGATCGGGCTTGCTGGCATTGTGGCCCACATACCGATCATGCACCTCTGTCGTGCCGTCGATTCCGCCCTGCGTCTTCAGATTCCCCTGCATCGTGTACCGATCGGGCTTGCTGGCATTGTGGCCCACATACCGATCATGCACCTCTGTCGTGCCGTCGATGCCTCCCTGCGGCTTCAGATTCCCCTGCATCGTGTACCGATCGGGCTTGCTGGCGTCGTGGCTCTGGTAGCGGTCGTGCACCTCGGACGTGCCCTCCATGCCGCCCTCCGGACGCAGGCTGTTGACCATGGTGTAGCGCTCGGGGGCGCCGGCGTTGTACGTCTGGTACTGGTCCCGCGCCTCGCTCGTGCCGTCGATGCCGCCGCCCGGTGCCAGGTTGTTGGCCATCGTGTACCTGCCAGAGAGGAGGCACAGTAACATCTGCTCGGGCAGGACGATTTGTCAGGGAGTGCGTCTTCCCACCTGCCGATCGGTGTTCGTTACGCCGGCCGACCCACCCGTGTCGTGTTCGGTTAGTTCGAGTCGGTTTAGGTGCCCAGTATTGGCCCCTGACCGGGATGGCCCGCAGTCTGGGGCAGCGACCGCACTAAAGGTCAGATGACGTCAGAGGACAGACCGGACCGTGCTGAGCACTGCGGCACGTGAAGATGCACCGTGATTTATTCACTCCTTAAACATTGCGATTCTAAATAGAAAAGCAAAACGAAATGCGGCTTCTGAATGGCAGGTCGACACCGGAAACAGGAAACGTCAAGTCGTGTTACTTGAGTGACTGCGATAAACGCACACCGTTTAGTTTCATGACAATGGTACTTTCCGTGATTGCCTGGTCACCTCATGCCACGTCGAGGGCGGTGGTTGTGAGGTGGCTAGAACGCTCAGCTCTAGACAGTTCGCCCCTGGGTTCGGGTCGTCGCCACACTAGTTTCATGTCCCACATGGAACCTCACACAGGTGTCCCGCCTCGGAGTGGCCCCAGTGGTCGGCGAGACGTAAAGCGCCAGTTGTCGTCATTATTACTATTGTATCCGTAGTCTATGGGAAAGATGCTGGATTCGCAATCCAGCAGCACCGGGTAGGAGTTCCAGGACAGGCGCATTGTTTTGCTCGACTGAAGAGGAAAGATAAGCTGGCAACTGGCCAACGCGGGTTGGCCCAGGCCTGGAGCGGCTGTTCCGCAGTATTGTGCGGCACGCAAAACCCTCCACATTCATGTCTGGCGAAAGGGCAGAGACGGCTTATCCGTTGAACTGGACGGCACGACTTGGGTGGTGGGTTTAGGGTGCACGCAACAACCTCTGCTTAGCATGTACTCTGAAACCAAAGGCACTCATGCAAGCCATCCGAAATAAATTAATTAAAAAAACACATCATGGCCACATCCCTAGCAGAACCGGCAGCTGCTGTATTGGTCGGCCTGCTCTGACCCACCTCTCCGGCTGCTGGTACTGGTAGTTGCTGTACTGGTCGGCCTGCTGTGACCCACCTCTCCGGCTGCTGGTACTGGTAATTGCTGTACTGGTCGGCCTGCTGTGACCCACCTCTCCGGCTGCTGATACTGGTAGTTGCTGTACTGGTCGGCCTGCTCTGACCTACCTCTCCGGCTGCTGGTACTGGTAGTTGCTGTACTGGTCGGCTACCTCTGACGTGCTGGTCATATCGCCGCCCGGCACCAGCGTGTCCTGCACGGCGTACCGCTCCGGCTGCTGCGGGTCGTAACCTGCGACCGGGTCAAGGTCACACTCGGCCAACAGGTTAGAGTTGAGGTCGGCACGGTGTTAGTAGGGAGCTACGCGCACCAGCAGGGAGCTGCGCACCAGTGGGGAGCTACGCTGCGCCGAACAGCCTTGTGCGACATGCAAATGACAACGATTCCAGTAGTGTGCTGTACTTGGCACGTCTTATTATTCGCCGGCAGAAAATTGTTGATACGCATATTGCGCGGTTGTAATACTTATGCTCGGCAAACGTCATTTATAAACAAATCTGTCCGCTGTGTCAAACACATCGATGCAGTTCTGACCCATGACCACGGTTCCCACATTGAGACATTGTAGTTAAATATAATAGCGAACTGTGAAACCACCGCTTTGAGCTACACAAACCATCACACCATAAAACAGCTCATACTGGGATTTAGTCACTTAACTAACGGCTCCCGAAAGGTTGATATCTTGGACTGGAATGTCAGCACCTTGCTGTACCATGCTGATTCACACTAAGCGGCGCCAGCACCGTACCTGGGTACATCTCCTGGGTCTCTGAGGGCCCGTACTGGTACTGGAGGTCCGGGTACGTGTAGTCCGTGCCGGTGCCATAGTCGTACGGACCCAGGCCCGAATACGGATCGCTGCGAAAGAGGCAGTGTAAGGAGAGCAGGTCAGGTCGGGCCGGCCACGACGTGAGCGAAAGCCGGGGCGATTTGCATTTCCCTGCAACACATACTGGTAAATCGTCCAAGGAGGCGATCGCGGCTGTAAATCCAGGGAATGAGGGAGGCCGAGTTATTGATGCGTCAGCGTGTTCCGGCTATTCTTCAGGAGTGAGTTGTTGACCGCCGGGCTGTTCACTATGCATTGTCCGGGGGGTCTGAATGGAACGCGTCATGGTGCATCGCGTTAACAAGGGGGAACGACGGACAATAGCCACAGCATGGAAGAAGGTGGTGGTGGGGGGGGGGGGGTGGGTAGGCTTCATTCAAGAGTGCTGAAAAGAATGTCGGCCCCTGTTCCCTGAGGTTACCGAAAATCCACGAGGTTCGTGGAAGGTAACCGAGTCACGTTTAAAACGCACCGTATCCCTTCCGTAATTGTCACAATCTAATCGATAAATTACTGCTACCATCAGCCGAGTACAACTGAATCGGTTTGACATTAATAGAATCCTGATATGCAACGTGCAGCATCCCCAATTTGCCGCATTGGTATGTGTGAACCATTAAGCAATTCGTTTTACCCATGGTGAATAACAGAAGGGATGTGCTATGCAAATTACATATACTTTTTGAAACATTCATATCCAATCCATCACGTCCGAACAGATTTTGCAAGTGAACGGTGTAAGCTTCCGGATGAAGACGCGCAATGGTGTGTGTTTTAGTTTATGGCGATGTTGACGACGCTGTTATCTCCGCCCCGTATTTCGCCTACGAAAATCAAATGGAAACCAGTAAAGGCAAAACACCGCCACGCGCTAAGCAGGTATCGACAAAACGGAGTGTGCATAGAACCAGTAGCCTGCATTCTTTCCCTCCACGTTTAGCTGCGTGCAGCCCCTCCCCCTCTCCTACACCGTGAAATCCAACCACAGCCGACCGAAGCGAACGGCGCAAAACAGCCGTGCTTCACAACGCCACGGCATGGTAACCGGTTCACCCCGTGACCCCTGCCCTCCGGCCACTCGGTGGCTGGGGTCAGAGGGCGGACTTACCCGGGCAGGGGCCGGCCGCCGGCTGCCCTGGGGCCATTGATCTGCCCAGGTGGTCTGCGGCCTGTTATGGATACGCCGCACGTATCGACGGGCTGTGACGGCCCCGGCCGGCACCCGCCGCCGGCCGTGCTGGGTCAGGGGCAAACAACGCGGCCACGGCTGGGCGGGGCGGCGAATGCGTGGCGCACGGGCCGGCCAACACGTCACGCTCGGCGCGTCATCACGCCAGCCGACGCTTCCACGGGTATAGCTGGTGTTTGATCTGGCTACGTATCGGGTGGTGCCCTCTACATGCAAAATGGAACATTGATACATTTTCATCTGTTCAGCTGATATTGCCCGCAACTCTTTGCTCACATAGCACTCGCTCGGTGATATACAAGTTGGCCGAGTGCTCTTATCAGTTTCAATATGTGCCCCTAAAAAAGGTCAAATTTCGCGCGTACGTCTTCACGTAGTTACGTCTTTACGTGCCCCCAGAACCTAGATAATTGTTTTTTAGCAAAAGGTCACATGTTCAGTCAAGGTCAGTGACCTTGTTTGGCCTGTTGAAGGTCATGGTGACCGAAATCACACAAGACTGCTCTGAGTTTTGCATTTGAATAGGCGAAAAAGATTGCGCTAGGCAGTGTGTTTCTAAAACCAAAATGTGACCTAGGTCATTTTAGGTCAATGACCTATTCTTATCTCTGAGAAGTCCATGGACGATGCATAATGCGGTTCCTGCTAACAATAAACTCGAAGTGAGTACCAGAAACTATCCCATACAGCGAGCCCTAGAGAAATAAATCAGGTTGGTTTTGACCTTGGCCTGACATTTATACCTGACCTTAGGCCAACGTAATTTTCTCAATCAATATTTGTGTTGCCTAAGAAAGCATCTCAGAGATGTATGGCTTCGTCTAACACTCCCTTGCTGCATCAGATTGAACGATTCCCTAGAAGTTGACTTCCCTGAAACCATGGTCTGACTGACCTGCCATAGGTTAGCGACCTTACAAAGTATATATACATTTTTGATGCCAAATGATCCGCTATTCATTTCTCTACAACTATGCGTTCGGAAACCACTCTGGAGAAACTTTCGGGGCGAGTCAATTTGACCCCTCACCCGAGCGCGTGTTGAAATCAACGACCTGCAGAGAACATGCGTTTAACGACCGCATTGAATAAATCCCCGGTGTCCTTAATTTGCAATGGCTTAGTTGACTCTTTCTAAACCGACTGAATTCACAAAATTTTTCATAATGTTTCATCTGCGTTCCAGACATTGAGGACATCGCGAGGGTAGATTGTAGATCGATATGTTTGATCGAAATTTGGGGGTGAACGTTTTGATTGTAGATCGAGTAGTCAACAATGCGTATTAGCATCGCCAAGCCATGTTTGTCTGAAAATGTTTAACATTTAGTCAGAATCGATTAGTGATACAATCTATATAACGTGGTTTTTAACATGCGTGCTCGCAAATCTTAGCAACAAAAGCCTCGACACCAGGCGTTGCAGTCTCCATAGGCCGCGGAGCACTAGCTTAGCAGTTAACTTTTCTTCATGGTCCACTGGTGGACGAAAATAATAACAGTTCTGAAATAATTAACTTTAAAAACTTGAATCGGTTAGTAATACAACTTATGTGACATAATGTAGACCATGCGTACTTGCAAATCTTAGTAAAAAAATGCCGATTCCAGGCGCTGCAGTCTCCGTGGGCCACACAGCTTCGACTCAACAGCTAATACTGGGCAGTGGCCAACAGGTGGACGAAAATGATGACGCTTCTGAAAGAAGTACCTTTGAACGCTTCCGGACATCAAATCTCACATCTACAAGGAAGTCTGGGCGTATATTTCGCGCGTGCGATTTTTAGACTGATGATAAGACCGGATTGGCCCTTAAGCACCGCGAAGTGGTGCCAGAGTACGGCGGTGGAACTGGAAGAGCAAATCTAGATTCTCTATTTTTCGTGTTTCTGTAACTATATATTTGTCCAGAAGACAGACTAACACGGCGCCCGCCGTCTGATGACACTTGCAGTGGTCGAAGCCTTTCGGTTTTACGGAAGCTGCAACCCAGACCATCGCTGTCCTTGCTCTTGAGGTTGCAGGCGGGCATGTTCAAACTTTTTTATGTACTTTTTATTTATGTTTTGTTTGTGTTTATTTTTACTTTTCATCTTTAGTTATGTATCTATGTCACTAATCCATTCTGAAAAAAATGAGCGTTCTTAGGCAAATATGGGATGGCCTTGTTCGTTTCTTTAAAAATTCATTTCGACCTGCTCTATTCAGCAATAATGAGGCCTCCCTTCTACTCAACAATAATGAGGCCCCTTGTTTCCTTCCGGGCAAGGGGTCCCTCGAGAAGAACACTAAGGGCACATTACCGGTTCCGGTCAAGAGCTGAAGGTTCACTCCGTCCCATCGCGAAGCGTCTTCTGGCTGTCATTCTAGCGGCACGGGGTGGGATCTCCTGGCGATCCGGAGGCCATTGGAAGGATATATCATATCACATTGTTCCCCCCCCCCCCTCACACGAGAGGCCTTCTTACCCACACGGTTGGCCCCGTATCAGCACAGAAGCCCCCATTGACGTAAGAACGCCCCTGATCGCCAAAGGTGGTCCAGTAATTGTCACACAGGCTCCAGTTCCGGGTTTTTCTGCTTTCTTCAGAAATATTGAGGAATCCCTGAACGTAGATTGTAGATGAAACGGGTCCTAAGCTTGTATTAACATGGCTGATCCATGCTTGTCTTAAAATGTTCAAGATTCAGTCAGAATTGATTACTGATAAAAATATGCAGTATGGTTTTGAATATACGCGCTCGCAAGTCACAGCAACAGCAGCATGAACGCCCGGCGTTACAGTCTCCATAGCCCGCATGGCGTCGGCCTGCAGCTGTGATACTAAGCGATGGTCAATAAGCAAACGAAAAAGATGACGCATCTTGGGGAAGATGGCTAGTGAACTAGGTAAATTGGCGTGTATATTTAAATTTGGTGCAAAAGTCAGGTAAACACAACCTTAACCTGAAAAATGTGTGTGTGTGGGAGGGGGGGGGGGGCAGTTAACACTGCTGGCCCCCCACCTTGTAAAGTGTGTGTGTGGGGGGGGGGGGGGCATGGCCCAACCGGTCCCCCTGTTCCTAAGCCCATGGTGGCAAACTCTGGAGCTGATGAAGCTACAGCGGGCTAATTCGCTGTCGAATGACACATTATCCGTCTCAGCAGAAGCGTTCACAACACGCAACGTGTGGGGTCCAGTGACTAAAAACGTGAGGCGCAACATCGGAAGACTTATGGCATCAACGCCGCGTGCCTTCGACACACTCATGCTTCCGAGCATCTGCCTCAGTTCCGGGAGTGTTGGCGGTTTTACCCGGTAGAGGTCACTGCGCACCCCAGGCGGGCACGGGCTCAGCGGCGGCGCAGCCGCCTGTTTTGTGGCGGCGGCAGCGGCAACGCCTGAACCTACAGCAGTAAAGTGTGCATTGAGGCGATCAGCCAGTCGAGTCGCCTGCTCGAGTGGAAGAGGAGCTGGTTCTGTCTTGTTCGTCGAGATCACAAACCGTCAAATATCTCTCCATATTGTTTTCCTGGAGCACCGGTAGGATGTTCCAGTGCAGTGATACTTCCGCGATGACCCAGTGCGGTACGTCAGCCTCTCGACACGATGATCTTCACGGTATAGTAAGGTCACGCTATTCCCTCGCCGATCCCCACTCACTCCCGCCAATCCCTCACCCCTTCTCGCCGATCCTCCATCCCTCTCGCCGATCCCCCACTCCCTCCCGCCAATCCCCATCCCTCTCGCTGATCCCCCACCCCCCTCTCGCCGATCCCCCACCCCTCTCGCCCATCCCCCACTCCCTCCCGCCCATCCCCCACCCCTCTCGCCGATCCACCACTCCTATCGTCGATCCC